ATTATCTGCTGCATTGCACTGATTTTGGAACTGATATTTAATTACTGCTTTTAGAACTTATATTGCACATGTAAGTGAGCTTGGGGTGGAAGATCCTTGAGGACCCCTTTTCTTACTAAGATTTCTATTTAGAGATCTAACCCCACCTTTGGGGCACATATTTCAGGTTCAGGTAATGCGGGGGTTGAGACCTCTAGCTGCAGAAGGCCGAAGCTTAGCTGATTTATATGTTGTTATGCTGCTTATGTTGGGTGCTGGATTATGCCTGTTGCTATTATGTTTTTAGCTTCATATTATGTTATTGATTTGAGACTATGTTGGGCCTTGTTGCCTTATTTGGTGAGCATGGGGATTGTCCATGTCACATTTGATTATGTATCGTTGTTTAGATTGGAGTTGTTTAAACTATCAGGGTTGTCCGGCTTACGTGTTGTAGTGTCGTGATTAGAGACGCAATTAATGATCTTAATTATGATATGAGGTTATTCAGTATAGATATCTGTCTTTTGCATTTACATACAGGCAATGTTTTGAAAATGAATTAAGTAATTCAACTTGGTAATTATAATGACGTCATAATCGAAAAGAAAAAGAATATTCTGCATTTTTAATTAAGCGTGGCTTAATACGATGGCATGTTAACAATCCGGGTATACACGGGGTGTTACAGTAATGGTAGAGATGAAGGGAAAGGAAGAATCACACCAAGATTTATCATGGTTCACTCTCTAACCACATAAGAGCTACATCCAGACTGAGGTCATCGATTCCACTATATTCTAGTTTCCAACCGGTGCTAGAAAAACTGTTTTACAATTGAGTTTTTACAAGATCTATGATCAAACCTTTAATCACACTCAACCTATCACCTATAGGATCTCTCCAATAGTCAAGAACGAAATATAGCAATCCAAATCACTCAAACAGCAGAGCATCAATCTCTCCTTGTTCAACGTAAAAAGAAAGATCTGAAAAAGATCAAGAGATGAGAGATATTGAGCTTTTCCTCAAGGATATCAAAATATAGCCCAATTTGTGTTAATCTTTCCAAATTCTGAGTTCTTATGTAAAAATAGATTTAAAACATATCAGATGATGTCCAATAACAGAGATATAGCAGTGGTATTGACAGAGATGAAGGGAAAGGAAGAATCACACCAAGATTTATCATGGTTCACTCTCTAACCACATAAGAGCTACATCCAGACTGAGGTCATCGATTTCACTATATTCTAACTTCCAACCGGTGCCAAAAAAATAGTTTTACAATGGAGTTTTTACAAGATCTATGATCAAACCTTTGATCAAACTCAACCTATCACCTATAGGATCTCTCCAATAGTCAAGAACGAATCATAGCAGTCCAAATCATTCAAACAACAAAGGAGCATTCTCTCCTTTTCAACGTAAAAAGAAAGATCTGAAAAAGATCAAGACATGAGAGAGAAATTGAGCTTTTCATCAAGGATATCAAAATATAGCCAAATTTGTGTTAATCTTTCCAAATTCTCAGTTCTAATGTGTTTCTGTGTTAATCCTTGTTTGTGAACCCTCATTGGTCGTTTATATAGGTATAGGTATGATTAGATAGCTATTTATAGTCGTTACACCTTTAATTTTTAATCAACTCACGTGACTAGTGCAATATCAAGATATTTGTCGGGCATGTATCTTAATATTCTGGATTTCAATATTCAAATATCCCATATCCAGATATTTGAATATCCGTATCCGAATATGTAACACTTTGTCGGCCGCCGTTGTGTTAACTTCCATTACGGTAATAAAAGCGCTATTTATTGAATTAAATACACGAAAGACTTATTTAAAGTATCACTATAGCTTATCATTAACTACGTGACTTAACTTTTTCTTTTTTCTTTTCTTTCCTATAATTTTCGTACTTTATTTATTATTTTAGATTAAATTCTATACAGCTCCACAACCATATAGAATATTTACTTGACTTACACAACTATAACAATTATCAAGTGTTTGTCAGAATATAATAACAAGTATTATTTCTAACAAAACCACATACAGCATAACGGCTGTAAATTAAACATTTGTAAGGATTATATTCTCATAATATCTTTGCACCTGATATACAATATATCAATACATCTTAATTTATAAACATAAATACATCTCGCTTCCATTGTATAAATATATACATAAGCCTCTCCAAAAATGTTTACGCTTAAACATATATACAGCTAGTCTCAACACAAACATCTATCAGTCTAACTGTCCCATGCAATGCTCTAATCCCCATGCGCTGGTTCCTTGCCTAAGGATCCTTCTCCAACGGCTAACTGTACCTGAAATATATCCTCATAACGCGGGGTGAGAATTAATCTCAATAAGCTCGGGGTTTATGAAGCAGTCTCGACCCACGAGTTCACTTCGTACATAATATGTCAAACACAAAACATAGACAACACCATGCAATCTCTTAATTATTTAATTATTTTATATTAACACACATACATATTCCGATACACACACACATTATTTAATTAAGTATTTAATTTTTTAAGGGGAAAAAAGGAAGAAGAAGAAAAATAAGCTTATCCATTTATGACCACTTTTTTACCTGAGTCTTATGTGTTATCTGAAAGTTATCAATTCTTTGCGATGATTTTGAGGATGGCGACAACAATGCAATAGTTAGAATATATTTTGAGGGAACTAATTAGTAAAAGTTTGACTTAAATATGTATTTCAAGTTTTTCGAGTATTTAAGAGCATTCAATATACACACACAAAGAAGAAGGATACCCCAAAAATAGAAACGCATTTATATTATAATAGAGGGGTGAATCGCATGATTGATCACGAATAAACTAACAAGGAGAGATTGAATTTACCTAAACTCGGGAGGGTTTTCAGCATAGACATCGAAACATGATCTTTTAGCAAAAAACAGCAACTACTCTTTTTCTTTGGTGAATACAAAGGCTACAATAAGTAGCCTGCAAGAAGTACTCTTTGTTACAGTGTTTCAAAACCCGGATCAAATCGGCCGGATCGACCGGGTTTCGGTGACTCGGTGCCCTCACCAAATTGAGCTGGCCATTGGATCGACCATGCACTTAAACTTGTTTCGATCGATTGACTCGGCCAAATCTCGGTGACTCAACGAGTAATATGAAACTCGGGTCAAGCTGTTTTTTTACGATTCTTGATCTCCAATGAAGTCGCCACTACTAGAAACTGACAAGGCACGTCTGCACGAGCCAAGCATTGACCAAGAACTTGTGGAGAGCGAACATCACCACAACCTGAGCAGCGGTCAGACAGTGCCGAACTTGATCTTGGGCTGCCACGGAAGATGCATGGGTTTTCAAAGAAAGAACGCCGAGGGGCAGCAAACAAGAGAAATCGGTTCAGCAAATTATGGTGACCATCATCGCTTAGGTAAGGGAAGGACACCAAGGCTAGTGGAGAGAAGAGAAGGAGTTGCTTGAGGATAATGAGAAAGTAATAGGAAAATGGGAAATACGCTCAGCTTCTGAGGACTTTTCGAGTGACAATGTGTAGGGTGTGGGTTTCAAGACTGACATTACCCATACCAATACGTCACAAGCTGAATTAAGTGGCCCTGCTCCATCGATTGCACAAGTCAATCAAAATGAAGCTCATAGATTTCCAACCAATCAGGACACCAATAATGGGATCAACTTACCCTTTTCTAGAATGTACCCTCCACAAACAAGGACTATGGATCAGCTTCTTCCAATTCAATCTCAATCGTCCATCATGAGCTTCCGATATCCAACCCAACCATCTTGGACCTTGACGACAAGGACAATTTTCATGAGTTAGGACTTGTAGTAGACTCAAGTGGAACCAAGTCCAGGAGACATATTAGAGAACCCAAAATATTTATTGGATTATGTGAAGTGAAGGCCAGTAGTTAATAAGTCCAACAGTTAAATAATTTATTATATAATTTAATATAAATTTAATTAAATTAGTTAAATCAGTACCTCACCGGTTGAACCAATGACTTAGTAACTTGATCTTCGATGACCTGGCCGAGATTTAAAACACAGCTTTGTTGTGATAAGTGATTATAATAAACATTCATACTTTATTTGTGCAGTATAATAAATGTTATATGAAATCCATTTACTACATTGATAGTCTTTTTCAGATACACCTTTTTCTTTTTGGGCCTTACCACCAATGTTTAACCCTTCAGTGCAAAAATAACCAGCAAGCTCAGCAGAACACCCGGCTCAAAAACCTTAACCTAGTTGTAAATCTTTGCAAGTGTTTTACATCATACGTGAAATGGTTAACGATTGTTTATGCATCCAAATGAAAAGCTAGATGCTATGTACCGAGTCCACTGTTGAACGCAGAACTTGAGCAAAGCCTATATTACAAAGCATACAGCCAGCTCTCATTTACGATATACTTGAAGTTCATAGGTCAAGATGGATATTAATTTCACTTTCAGATTATCCTGACGATGGAACAATGAATGATTTGTTGAAATTTTAATGCTGTTTCAGACCTGTGTTTCTTGCGAATTTTCGTTCATGCCTCAACCTGTTGTTGAGCAGTAAAATTGCCAAACACAGTTGTTCATTTCTACACATATAACCGGTACAATACCTACAAAGAGAAACTTGAGTTTTGTTAATCAGTCGGTTTGATATAATAACATTGTAGTAGCGAGATTTTTCTTATAATTCCGTCAGCAGTTGGCAGCAAAGCTCAGCAAGCCGACCAAATTAGGAATGTCATTTTATGCGTTACACACTTAACAGGTATGTAATAGTAATGCTACTTGTACAAGTACAACCACAATAGTTATAAGTGACCTCGACTGTAAACGTGCCAGCATCTAAATTTAACATGAAAAAGTCTGAATGTAAATACTTGAATTCAAACGCAGCAGTGCTTGCAAAAATGCAATTACGTTCAGTTACGACTGTAAAGTTACGCAAGCAGCATAACCCATCACCAATTCTAAATAGAAATTGCAATAAAGATTCATTGCAACAGTTATTCGTAGGAGGAAAATAGACGGGATAGCATTGAAATGGTATTTGAATATCTGCTGGGGGAATCATTGCGCACTTGTAAAATGCTTCCCTATGGTGTACCTCCGCGTGCTAAGAAAAACCAAAAATTCCAAAACAAAGAACCAATAAATAAAGCCATGTACCATCATCTGAAAAAGTGCATTACGGATGAAACAGGAAATAACTTCACAGGACAATAAATAGATTATGGTCATCTCGAGAGAACCACTAACTAGCCTTGGTAGCTACACCTGCTGACATGAGTTGACACACAAAGGGTGGCCATGGTCAGCATCCCCAACCCAAAGAAAAAAAAAAGGTGATACCACCGTAATGCATTTACTTGCCATCCTCCTCCTCACCATCATTGTCATCCTCCTCTTGATCGTCATCATCTTCAGAGTCATCCTCATCATTTCCCTGCAAATGAGAAAATTTTACACTTTATTATACAACATAATAACTGTACATGATATTTCAAAAGTAGTAAAGTATTAACTATAAAATGCACATAAATTCGGAAAAAAAAAAAAGTTTAGTAAACTAATTCTCTTAGTGAAGCAACAGCTTAATTTTGACTTTAAAAGAATTTCATTGAGTAGTGCTGAGGTCTGCCTCTTTTTTCCCATGTAAGAATCTTCACAAGTCTCCACAGAAATTAACAGTAATGATAAACCAGAAAAATACGAAAGGCACTGAAAGAACGGCAATGCCACAAATCATTTTCAGTCTAGGAGTCGGGAAATAGATACAAAGACTTCATACATCTAATCTAATCTAAAATATTAAACCTGTGCCAGATGCCAACTATCCAATCAATGATGTAAGCTTTAATTATTTAACAAGGGTACGTTATTTTTACAAACTTTTTGTTTACAAACTACACTATGTACTCCGGGAAGTACACACTTAAGTGTTTATACTCCCCGGAGTACATAGTGTAGTTTGTAAGAGTTTGTAAATAAAAGGTTTGTAAATATAACCCTGCTCTATTTAACATCATAAAATTTGTTATTTTTGGGACCATGAATATGATTAGAACTTTCTACCTTCAGCTGTAACTTCATTGAAAATCTCTGTAATGTAGAATGATTAAATGTAATTTACATCTCATTTGTGGTTAGTGATTTAACAGGCATAATCTGACTCCTTGATGATGAGTTGAGGGGAGTAAATTCTAGACTATAGTTGTGAAGAGCAGTTTCAGAGACTAAGGGTTTCCGGTTATGCAGGTGTAAGACAGTTTATATAAAGGAAGTTAAGCAGCATGCAGGTTAGCAAATGCTTTAATTGTGAAAAATGGGGATCACATCATAGCACAAGTTGCATGGTTTAGGTATCTTAAGTCTAACAAAGTGATAAGAAAATTGAGGGGGATGTCAAACATAGGGTTGGGGCTGGGTTGATGAAATGGAGAGATGCTATACTCAAAAGGAAAATCTTCCAGACAACATGCTCTATGGTAGTGAGTGTTAGGCAGTGAAGTGCCAACAAGCACAGAAAAAATAACAATAAAAAAACTAATGTAGTGAAGATGAAATTGTAGAGGTAAAAGCGCATACATTGATAGATAATAACTGGAACAAATGCATCTAAGAGGAAGTTTAAGCAGCATCTATTGACTCTTGAATTTTCATAGAGTCCAAAGACATCGATTGATCCATTTAGCCAATCCCACCTAGTGGGATAAGATTTGGTTGTTGTCTGTATTTTATAAGATTGAGAAATGGAAAAATCAATGCATTCAGTTCAGCATTCTTCCATTGAATTTTGCCAAAACTACCCATTAACTGAACTTTGTAGTGCACATATTTAGCATGTAACCAGAGATTGCCAGATTCAATACAAGTATAAAAACTATACTCATCAGCTTTGGAGAACAGCATTTGCCAATCTGGAATGTTTTTCTGAAAAAAAAAAATAAATAAAAGAAATGGAACCTCAATTACCTCATCATCAGCTTCATCCTCATCACCATCCTCCTCGTCAGGCTCCCCCTGTTCCATTATAATTAACTACTGTTAGAGACACAAGCAAGAGAAAATGGCAGAGTGTGAAACAAATGACTATGTAAAACCTAGAAGCATAATTGTATTCAAAGAAAAGAAGCCAGAACTGAAAGTTAACTTACATTGTTGAAATAAGTAAGCGGATTTGGCCATAAATCATCCTTGATTAATTCTGCGACCTGCAATTTAGAGTGATGTATAACACTAAGATTCATGTGACAAAGCAAAAAACAAAGGGAAGTCAATAATTGTTTTATAGAGATGGAAAATCTAAGGCAAGGACAAACAAATCTAGAAAGAATTTTACAAAAAAAAAACCACTCCTCAATTTAAACACGACTAACGAGTGTGGAGTGAGGGCAATCCTTGTACGCAGCCCCTTGCAAATAAATGCAAAGAGGCTGTTTCCCGAATTCAAACCCGTGACCTTTCAGTCGCAAAGGAACAGCTTTACCACTGCACCGGTTTGCCCGCTGTAGAAAGAATTTTACAAAACCGGAAAAAATATACCTCATCATGAATGTCATCCAATTCATCTTTCTGCTCGGTGTCACTAAACCAACTGAAGAAACTGCATTCATTAGCACAAGAAAATTAAAAATATTAACTATTGGTTCCGTGAAGTGTCTACAAAAGGAGCTTTGACAATATTTTTTATATAAAAATATTAATTGACAATTGATCAACAAGAAATAAGTGTACACATTATCAAGATCCTAGTTTCCATACCATCAACCAAGAACTATTACTCCTGAGTAGTCCTGGATGTTTATTTACGTTTGGTCTCAATTAATTGAGATATAAAATTCCCACAGGCTTAACTTATCAGCAAAACAATTACACCTGAATTTGCTTGAGGAGATCTTAAAAGTCAAAGGCTAGATTCACGGAGGAGAGATCAAGATTAGTTGGATCTTGAATGGGGAGGTCAGTTATCTTGTTATACAGTGTCTGCTAATTGATTAGCTTGAATATAACTTGGCTCATGGGATAAATAACTACGAATATTAAGTTAAGCAGACAATATTTGGACAGGAAGTTATCACAAATAAATTTGGTGACCAAGCAAAATCCCTAAAGCTAATTTTTTTTTTTTTTTACTAAGAAAGAAAAAGCAAAGTTCACCCAACTGACCTAATACACAAAACCAGTATAGGAGATATTTGTTATTATTTAACTTGCTAGTTAAAAAGAGCATGTATGACATATGAACATTGCTTTCTTTGTTTTCAATATTTTCTGTAAAAACCCTTGAACATACTTAGACACCAACCTGACATCAGTAGGAGCCCGCTTGTTCCCTTTCTTCTCATGATTAACTCCATTGGGTATGCCCTTCACGTTTATGGATTATGCTTTAAGAAACAAACAAAATAAAAACTGTACAAACTAATAGAAGAAAAACAAAAGTTAATTTCATAGCATTACCTTTCCCTCTTTCCATTTTATAGGTGTGGCAGTAACCTTTGTTGTTCCTTCTTCAAGGAAGGTAAAAGTCTTTACAAGCTTTGTATCCTCAAAATAGGGATTGGGATTGAAATTCTGAACAAGAAATTATTTACAATTACTGAACAGTTCAAGCAAAACAAAAATTTCCAAAACTTACGAGTAATTAGCAAAACATTTATATGAATTAAGCATCAAGGGGGAAGAAGCAACTCACAAAGGTGAAAGAGTAGCCTGATTTGACATCTTTATAATCTTCAACCTCAAGAGAACTCAAATACTTAAATATCTATCAAATAAAGGATCAGTAATGAATTAGACTCACTCATTGGGTATCTGTAGTCAAAGGAACAGCAGTATTGAAAGTACTTCCATGGAACCCTCAAAACAACAATCCCAAATAATTACATAAAAGCAAAGACATGGCACGTGTGAACAGCTTAAGTACTTATTCATGTAGAGCTACATTCTAAAATTAACTGAATAGCGTTTGAATAGACATTCCAACAAGTGCTTATGCAAGAATGAGTTAATTTTGCGAAAAATACAAAAACAGCTATGGCCTAATCTGCTTTTAGCTTTTACAAAGTAAGCATAAATTTCTAGCATATGAAAATAAGACCAGAACATCTTATAAGGGTTTCAACAGCTGTTTTAATAAGAACATACAAACAGGACCAAAATGCTTCATGAGTGCTTATTGTAGTAGATAAGGTCACTTAGTCAAATTTTAGTGCGTGCCACAAAAAGAGGCCAAACCTTTTGATCTTCCTCGTTCAAAAGATCACCAAGAGCAGGATGACTCAAAAACTGCACAAGGAGAACAAACAAAGTAAACCTCATAACAATAACAATTCCACAATTCCAAAATTCAATAAACCAAAAATAAAAATAAAAAATAAAAAAGATAACTCACAGCAGTTAACCAGAAGTCAGGAATAGACTTGACAACCGCATTCCGCCTATCATAGACCGGCTTCCGTACCTCATTGTACTTTTGCTCAATTTCGAGGACTTTATCGCTCGCCTCTTCATTGATCTAAAAAAACAGGAACCAACATTCATTACAGAACACAAAAATTACAGGTCAATTTGACCATATTCCGGTAGCAAAAACATATAATTAAATAATATAACTAATCACATTGCTTGCGTGCAACCTTGAAACTGGAACTGGTTAGGCATGAACGAAAATTCGAAGCTTCAATTTTGTGAATTTGACAAAAGATAAAAGAAAAGTTTATAGTGAATTTGGTACCTTTTCGAGCTCGTCTTGGATCTCCTGCAACTTCTCAATGGAGAGGACGAGTTCTCCGTCGATTTCCTCCGGATTCTCGCCCTTGTCTGAAACCTTCAACTTCTTGGTCTTGTCGGCCACCATCTTCTTCTTCGCTCAAATGCTTTTGCTTCTGGGTTTCTGGTTTGTGTAAAACCCTAACACCGCGAACAGAAAAGTTAGGGTTTTAGGGGGTTTATATGTGTCACTCGTTCATCACCGGAAGGGCGCACACGAAATAAATAAGCTACAGCGTGACATGTGTCCAATGTGGGGGTAAATTCGTCGTTTCACGTATTGCATGCTTTCCAGATATTTTACGCTTTTAAGATACATTAACACGCCTTCTCTTTCTACTAATCACCTATTAGTGATGTTTCATAATTTCAGTTTAAATTTAGGAATATTCCATTTCAACTTTTGTTCGTTTTAAAAAAGCATATTACTGTATCCAATATATATATATATATATATATATATATATATATATATATATATATATATATATAGGGTTTAGCGGATGTAAAGTGACTGGCACCTAAGGATTGGTGCAGTCATATAAAACTACGTCATTTTATAATGTAAAAGCATTAAATATGGAGAATAATAACCATACAAAGGTAGAAATAAATATAAAACATTAAATATGGAGAATCATAGCCATACAAAGTTAGAAATAAATATAATATTTTTATTTTCTACAATTAATTTTAAATGTGAACTTCTTTTATCCCACCTAAAACGACGTAGTTTTTAGGTGACTGCACCAATGCTTATATACAGTCACATTACAAATCATTTTGCCATATATATATATATATATATATATATATATATGGTAATAGGAGATAATTATTATCTCCAACTGACTCACTTACGTAACTGGGATTCACTTTCAGGGGGAGAGAAAAAAAATAGAGTATGATCCATCTTAAATTTGTGTATGTAGGAGATAAATTTATTCTTATGTAACATAAGAATAATAAATCTCATATATATATGATACATTTCTGCAGTTGCTATACGTGCAGCAATCAAATATTTTCCATATATATACTTGAAAGCATTAAATGCGAGGAATCATAATCATACAAAATATGAAAGCATTAAATGTGGGGAATCATAACTGACCTGGATAAAATACAGTAGGCTCACTAAAGGTTAAAAGCCCAAAGATCAAGGCTTAAACCCGCAAGGCCCAACACAAAGCGTGATGTCCTCATCGCGCATAAAGGATCAAAGGGCGCGATGGACTCATCGCGCCTAAATCGCCTTTTAACATAACTTCAGAGATAAGGAAGCAAACAATGATACAAGTGAAGATCCACTGCGTCATTAAACAAATAAATAGAAGACAACACCAGCTTGCCACCACTCCACCAAGATAGCCTGACATAAAGAGATAAGGCTAATGAAGCACCAGCTGAACCTATAGCCCATAAACAGCCAATCAGAAGTCATACCGCCTACCAAAGGCGGCATCAGATTCATTATATAAACACATGGTACATGCCCAGGTATGATAATCTAATTCAGTAAGAATGCAACATAAGCCTGACTTTGATACTGGCTTGAGCGTCAGAGTGTCATTGCAGGTACCCCCCAGTCTGAATCATCGCATCAAAGGAGAATCATACCCATCGTAACATCAACAATAATCAACAGCCCAGAAAGCAGATAACCGAACCCAAAGTCTTCTCACATCAACCTTGTATGATTAGGCGCGATACAGATTGTCCAGCCCATATTGTATTGGACCAATCATTGGCGCCGTCTGTGGGAACTTTATCATTTAGAACCCATTCATTCACAATCTAAAAACATGGTTGATACCCGAAGCAAATCCCAGAATGATTCCAAAGGGAAGCAGAAAGAAACACCAGCCTCCCGTGAAAAATCAGCTTCATCAATTGCACCAATTTTCGTGCACCACGACAATCCACCCACAACCCAACACTTGTTGAAGCTTACTACTCAGCAGAACAAAAAAATTGCTCAGCAAAATCGATATTTAGCTCGATTAAAAAAATCACAGAAGGCTAGAGAGAAAAACCAGGAAAAAGGAAAAAAAAAAACCCGAGAAAGAAACTGAAAAAAGAGCTCAAAAATTCTAGTGAAAGTAAGCCAGGATATGAATATTCAAAAAAAGATCTTGAACCCTCTGGTCAGAGCAAGAAAAGAGAAGAAGAAAAAGAAACCCATGAAAATTCTCAGGGAAATTCTAAGACAGCTTCACATATCTTGCATCCCTTTACCCCATGTGTCATGAGTGTCCCTATCCCCAAGGACGTAAAAATTACAACTGAGCAGTATAATGGAAAGGGAGATCCCCAAGAACATTTGGAACAATTCCAGACAAACATGATGGCACAAGATGTCACTGATCCAGTAGCTTGCAGGCTATTCCCAACAACGCTAAAAGAAATCGCGCTTAGATGGTATTCCGCTTTACCAACCAATTCAGTTCAAAGTTGGGAGGATCTCACTAATCAGTTCCTCGTACAGTTCGCAACTAGCAAAGCACAGTACAAATCTACACATGCCTTGAAAACAGTACGACAAGGAGCACAGGAAACTTTGTGCGATTATCTTAATAGGTTTTTGGATGAAGTGCTCTTAGTAAGAGACCTAGATCCATAAGTTTCCTTACATCTAATCATTGAAGGATTGCTTGAAGGTCCTTTTTCTATGTCGTTGGCCAAACAACGCCCATGCACCATTGAAGAATTAAGAGCGTGATCTGAAAAATTCATTAATTTGGAAGATTATAAACGATCGCGAGATACTTCCGGCGTAAAATCGGAAATAGACAATTTTGAAAAAGATTTCCCAAAGAATTTCCAAAGACAGTTCCGCGAAAAAAGAAAGTGGGAAAAGTTCGATAATTATACTCTTGTGAACACATCCCGAAGACAGATCCTTAAGGAAGTTTTCCAAACTGGTTATGTTCACGTTGCTAAGCCCCCACCATTTAAAAAAGGTGGACAACGTGATGAGACCAAATTATGCGAGTTTCATAATGATACCGGCCATACCACTGACGAGTGCTTTGATCTCAAAAACACCATTGAAAACTTATCAGAGTAGGCAGACTTCAAGAATTCATTTCCACCTACAGAGAGTTTAAGGCACAAAGAAGGCGCGATAGAAGTCCTCATCATGATCAGAATCTTGACCGACAAAGGGCATATCCCAGGATGGACTATAATCAAGCCAGAAATAACAATGATAGGAACGCACTCGATGACCGCACTGATAGGCGCAGCCTCAATATCTCCTCCTTGATTCACTCGGGCTCGCTTCTTATATCTCTTCTTCCCCTGTGTAGAGGGAGCTGGTTGAGAATGAGAAGACATTGTGCCTACACAACAAGAGAAAATTAGTCCAAATGTCAAACAATTACATGTCATGAATCCAATTCCACAATTCCCAAATTTAGAACTCTTGTAGTGAGGAATTTGGATCAAAACATGTATGAATTACAACCCCACAATGCCATAATGTAGACCCTCAATTTTGTATGAAAAAGGGCTTGGGCGCTAAAACGGTCACACTGAGCGTTTTAGCGTCCTGGCCTTAAACGTGTGTAAAAACTGGACGGGCGCTAAAACGTTGAAACCAAACGTTTTAGCGCCAGGCCAATTTTTGGGTCAGGCATTTCCACGAACACCTTGTGTGTGTGTGTATTTGCATATATGAATTATCATTGAGGGAATTTCTTCTAAACCCCAAACAGATGGAAACAACAGCATGATTCAAACATGAACATTTAGTGACAATCTAATCATAGAAATATAACATGTTCATGAATCAAAAGTGGAACTCCTATGGTTGTAAAGTAAACCCATAAACCCTAAGGCAATCCAAATTGAAAGAGAAAGAAAAATGGATGAGTACCTGAAATGGGAGTGGATGAGGTGCAATGAAAGAGTGCAGCAAGAACTCAAGATACAGGGAAAAAGAAAAATGAAGACGTACCACTCAACAATGGAGACGTAGAACTCAGAAATACTGTGAAATAAAGAAGTGAGAGGGAAACCGTGTTTATGAATAAGTGACGGGGCGCTAAAACGTTGGCTGAGCAGCGCTTTAGCGTCCTTGTCCAGAGAAATATGCATACTTTGTGCAGCACAGCGCTAAAACAGTCATAGTTAGCACTTTAGCGCGTTTGGCCAGAGTGCCTGTATTGGTGTTGTTGGTGAACGCTAAGACGGTCATAGTGAACGTCTTAGCGCGCACGACCAGAGAGTTTCATAATGATGGAACTCTAGGGACGGTAAAACGTTCAGAGGTAACGTTTTAGCGCCCAGCACATAGCAAAAAATTCTCTTTGATTTTTCAAAAAAAAATTTCCCTTTTACTTCTCCATCTTATGGATATGGTATGAACATGGAATTGCATACCTAGTACAGTGGGTTGTCTCCCACTCAGCGCTTGTTTAACGTCACGAGCCTGACGGGTATGATCTATTTTACCTCTAATAGAGCAACTGTCAGTAGTTGCCTATCCACAGCACTTCCAACATATAACTTCAATCGTTGACCATTGACTGTAAAACTTCTGTCCGAATCCAAAGAACTGATTTCTACAGCCCCATATGATTTCATGTCTTTTACCACAAACGGTCCAGACCATCTAGACTTTAACTTCCCTGGAAACAGCTTCAACCTGGAATTAAACAGAAGTACTTGATCCCCCACCTTGAAGTCTCTAAGTGTGATCTTCCTATCATGCCATAGCTTTGTCTTTTCCTTATACAAACTGGCTCTTTCATAAGCAGACAAACAAAACTCATCCAATTCATCTAGCTGTAATAATCTTTTCTGTCCTGCTGCTTTGGAATCAAAATTCAGATATCTCACAGCCCACAAAGCCTTGTGCTCCAATCCAACTGGAAAATGGCATGCTTTTCCAAATAGCAACTGAAATGGAGACATCCCAATAGGAGTTTTGAAAGCGGTCATATACGCCCATAAGGTGTCATCAAGTTTCTTGGACCACTGGGTCCTAGCATTCCCAACAGTCTTCTCCAATATTCTCTTCAATTCCCTGTTGGAAATCTCAACCTGACCACAAGTCTGTGGGTGGTATGGAGTGCTTATTTTGTGCCTCACTACATACTTAGCCAAGGCATACTCCACCATCCTATTATCAAAATGAGTGCCCCCATCACTAATAATAGCTCTA